GCGTTAGCTCAGTGGCGTTAGCTAATCTGGGGTCTGCAGGTAGCGTTAATAACGCCAAGGACGTGGCGTAGTGAGTGGCTTTAACAACGCCACTGCCTAGTTCACACACAAAGGCGTACACTACGCCATGCTTAAGCCAGCCTTACGCCATGTGTGTGAACATAGCCTTAGATTATAAAACAACTGTAATAATTTATCAAGGGATCTTCAGCAACCATAGAGATCTAATTTATCATAGAAAATAAAGCTTAAAAACATTGTCTTTGATGTATTTACTTTATACACTTCAAAGCTGCATCCACAACTACCTCAGCCCTACCTTGGTTGGGGCTGAGGTGAGAAAATTTAAGGAAATAGTGCCTCTAGATGGCCAGACGGAAATGACACTTTCATAAAGGTAATATAAGTCATCATCACATCACTATTATGTAGTCAAAATGAAGCATCATCAATGATCATTTATCAGGGATTTTAGGCCTAACTATAGCTAAGCTTTGACTACAATAATATAATTATTGGACAAAATCACATATATCTTTCACTTTCAGCACACTTTTCTTCTTTTTTTATATAATCCTGAAAATGTTTTTTTGCATTTTCGTTTTATATCGTTTATTAATAAACATTTATTGTAGGTTTCTATCAGAGCAAGGGTTAAAAACATATGATACAGTAGAAGGAGTCAATTAGAAATTGTACATCATTTATATCATCACCAAACTTTTTTTAAAATTTGGAATTGCATAAAAGTGATGCGCCGTCCTTGAAATTGACTATCACTATCACATAGCGTAGGTCAGCAAAATGAGTTAACAAACCATGTTCATTTTGTATTTCTAATTTGCGAAATAATTCATGTTTAGATTAAATTTGAGCTGATTTACTTGATATCAACAGAACAACATCACAAAACTGGAAAAACAAAATACAGAGAAACAATGAGAAAACAGTCAAGTCATCAATGTTGATATCTGGAATAACTCGGGCCAATAACTCTCTAAATCCCAACATAGGAGTTATTTCCAGAGGGGTCCCACACATAGGCCTATGTGTTATAATTATAGTATTATATATAACACGTTCTGATGCATATTTACATATTTTCGAAGTAATTCATTTTGAGTGATCCCAGAGAAGAATTTGTATTGGCTAGCAAAAACAAACTTTAAAGGAATGGCCGAGTAAGCTAAATTCACCACGTCATAGATAAATACATTATAAACATATATAAATTGTTTCTACTACAATAAGTAA